TCATCTTTGGCTTTTCTTTCTGGAATACTCACTGGTGGGGAAGGGGCAAGTTCTTGCGAGGGAAGGGTAGTGCTGAAACAAAGAGCAGAAGAGGGATAACCTCTAGGACTCCAAAGGCAGATTTTGCTTACTTTACACTTTTACATCAGCAGCATTTTCTCTGGTCTTGGTGACACGGGTGTTTGTCAGATAGGCTATGCTAAGTAACTGATATATCTCAGTGACTCAGCACAAGTTTATTTTTCCCTAATGAAAAGTTTGAGGAGTGCTCCTAAGGGTTGTCCTCTGCCCTGTGATTCAGGGATTCAGAATCCTTCCATCTTGTCACACAGCCATGTCAACATGTGGCTTCCAAGGTCTCCTGTGGCAGGGAATGGGAGGGAGGGAGAAAGTTTAACAGCTTTTAACTGCTCTGGACAGGAAGTGACATAAGTCACTGTCACTCCACAGGCCATCAGTTAGAATTGGTCACATTGTCCCAGCCTCATGGAAGGGAGGCTAAGATATGTAGAGAAGCTCATGGAATACTCATGGAATAATTGTCTTTTGCCACCGTGAACAATCGCGTTTAGTTGATGTGCATTTAGTAAGCAAAATAAAACTGACCTGATCAATTTCTGAGACTCTCATCAATTCCTGAAGATAATCCCAGGAATAAGGAGCCATTTGACTTATTTGACCCCTTATTTTTATTTCTTTCTTTTCCTAACCTCTGGTCCAATTGGTGAAAAGTTGGAATTAGATATTCAAAAGCTGTTCACATTTCATTACTTCTTAAAGAAAGAAGTACAGACTCTTTACCCTTAGCACATTTGTTTTTCCAACAGACCACATGACATGAAACACATACTGTGCAGAGAAAACAAAATGATTTAGCCAAAGGAAACCCAGCTATTCATGGATTAGGGCATTTTGGTCAATGACTGTAGACAGTCTTATTATTGGCAGGTATAATAATGATGGCTGCTGGTGTTTGATTAGTTTTAAATTTCAAGTCTGTGGTAAAATTCTGGTTGTGCTGTGCTATTTTGCAGACAGCAAACATGTTCTACATTGTGATCATGATGGCCATAGTCCTGCTGAGCTTTGGAGTGGCACGCAAGGCCATCCTTTCGCCACAGGAGCCCCCATCTTGGAGCCTTGCTCGAGATATTGTGTTTGAGCCATACTGGATGATATATGGAGAAGTCTACGCTTCAGAGATAGACGGTGCAAAGGGGATTTTGCCATCATGCAGAAATTGAACCTTTTTAGATACTCAGAATAAAAATGAAATTTGGAAAATAATCATCTAAATCATAAAAATGTCAAAAATTTCTGGTATTCTGCTACGTTAATGTGCTAAATATTTGTCTAGAGTCATAAGACTCTGATTCACCTTATTTCTCATTCTTTTCAATTCTTTATTTGTAGTTTGTTCAAGTGACCCGTCTTGCCCTCCTGGATCTTTTCTCACTCCGTTCCTCCAAGCTGTCTACCTCTTTGTGCAATATATCATCATGGTGAACCTGTTGATTGCTTTCTTCAAGTAGGTTATTTTAATTAAATATGGTTATTTTATTTAAATCAAAATAGGGGCAGGTATTTTGAGTAAATTCACATGTATTTTGAGTATGTAATGTTGGATTTTGTGTGTGTTCCATGTTTTATTACTGTGGTTTTAAAATATGGGCATGAAACTACTGGTAGGAAGGGAGCAGAGCATGAAAAGAGAAAAAATAAATGGAGAGAAAGTGTAGTAAAAGCAGAATGAAAGGAGATGATGCATTGTAATAAAGTAATAAGTTGGAATAATAGAAGAATAAGAGTTGATGAGGTTGAAAGTTGGCTATGGAGTTCTTGATATCCTTTCTTCACTTGGCTCCCAGTGTATCTCGTTCTCTGTTTTCTTCTATCTCACTTTTCTCTTCTTCTCAGTCTCCTTTTCTGGATTATCTCCTTCTCCTCAACCTTTTAACAGTGGAATGTCCCTGGGCCCAGACCTTGCTTGTCATTTATTTACGCTTTGTTTGGTGATTTTGGTCAGTTTCCTGTAGATGTCGACAAATTCCAATTTGTATATCCAGCCCAAATCTCTTCCTTGAACTCCAGTCTTATAGATGCAACTGCCCCCTTCCATCACCAGTTTGATGCATACAGAATTCTAAAGTTTTAAATGTCCAAACTCTTGATCTCCCCTCTTTCCCGGCATATACTTATTCTACTTGTAGTCTTTTCCAAATCCAGGGAGAAGACCACAAGTTTCTGGCCAAGCTCCATCTTTCTAGTTGTTCTGACCAAAAACCTTGGAGTCATTCTTAATGCCTCTCATACTTCCACCTTTAAACTGTCAGGAGCCCCTGTTGACCCTACCTGCAAAGAGATCACCAATCCAACCGCCTCTTACCGCCCCACTGCTACCACAGTCTCCAAATTTCTTTCTCTGCTTCTGTCTTTGGCCTCGAAATTCTGTTGTCAATGCAGTAGCCTTAGTAACCCTTTAAAAACATATGTCAGAAGATGTCACTGTTCTGCTCCAAACCCTTCAATGGCTCCCCGTTTCCCTCTGGGTAAAAGTCAAAGTTCCTACAATGATCTAGAGGGCTCCATGTGATTTGGCTTCTCTGTTGCTTCTCAAATCACGCTACTCTTCCCCTCACCCATTCCTCTCCAACCACACTGGCCTCTCACTGTTTCTCACACAATGCAGGTGTGTTTTTGCTTGCTGTTCCCTAAGTCTGGAACGCTCTTCCCCCAGGTATCAGTGTAGTTCATTCCCTCACCCACTTCAAGTCTTTGCTCACATGTCCCCTTATGAATTAGGCCTGACCTAAGGATGAGATTTACGAGTGCGGCTCCCTTTCATTGTCCTTGGCAGACCTTCTACTCCTTACTCTTCTGGCTTCCTACTCACTTGTATTATATACACAAATATATTTTTAATTTATTTATATATTATGTTTTTCTGTTTATCTGGCTCATCTACTGGAATATAAATAAGCTCCATAGGGACTATTGGGTTTTCTTTTTTTTTTTTTTTTGTGGTCTTTTTTACTCATGAATTTATCCCAAACACCAAGAAGAGTGCTTGGTGCATATTTCTTTGATGAATGAAAGAAATCAAGTGAGGTGCTGGGAAGAAACAAGTATTTTCTGAATGCCTCTTATGTGCTAAGCACTGTGCTAGGTATTTTATTCATTGATTATCTCACTGAAGAGAGAGAGATAAGAAAAGGGAAGTCAATGCATGGAATCTAAGTAAAGAAAGCAGAGAGGATAAAGGCTGGAGGGAGGCAAAATAAATCAGAATACTAAAAAACAATATTTGCCATATATTTGGGGAAGACATGCTTTCCTGCTTGTTACAAGTTTATATGATAGCTATCTTTTTTAGCCCCCACCGTTTTATGAACTTATAACATTTATTGATGTTTAGTTAGCATAGCTATTTTTTAGACATTTCAAACAATGTTGAGAGTGGGTATGAGATTTTTGGTTCTCCAAAATGGCAAGTGTCAAAGGAGAGGTTGAGAAATCCTCAGATAGACCAATCTTCTCACTTTAGACATGAACACACTGAGGACCAAACAAGCTGACCCTCAGATCTGACTACCTGTCCAGGGGCCCTTTCCAGACTCTCTGTGCCAATAGTTACAAAGAACCTGAAATACAGTACACTCTGAAGATCGCCACCTGCTGGTGGACAGCCATAGTGGCATTTGGTGTGACAGTGGCCTGTCATCTTGGTGGATCTCAAACTTGATGGTGCACGAGAATCACCTGGAGGGCTTGCTGAGACACAGATGGCTATAATGTCCACCGCTAGGGTTCCTAATTTGGTAGTTCTGGGCTAGGACCCAAGAACTGACATGTTCTCACGTGATGCTAATGCTGCTAGTTCAGTGACCACACTTTGAGAACTGCTGTTAAAACACAGTTATCTGTGTTTCCATCATCTACTTTATGGACTCTGTGACCTTCCTCTCTCCTCTTATCCTAAGCTGGCTTTCTCTAGGATGGTGCTGGTTCTTTCTCTGTCATTGCTCAAGTTTAAGCTTGCTTGTATTTTCATTTGCTATTTGGCTGCCCTACCCAAGTACTACTCTACCATCTTTCTCTAAAGAAGCTAATTTTATATTAGCCTAATCAAAATTTTAAGATGGACATTCCATTATGCCCACCCCCAATAATGTTATATACTTACAGTTAAGTAGTTAGGGATGATATGCTATTTTAGAATAACTGTACCACCCATCACAACTTCCATTGTAAGTTCTATAGTATCAATATTTACTATACTATCTGCATATTATAATTAATGTAATTAAAGGGAAAATCCGAGGGGGCCTACCAATAAAGGGTTACTTTCATTTTAATCTAAATAATTTACCTAGCTTCTAAATGGAAGCCCTGCATATTGATTTATTTTGGGATGAATTGATTTTTCTTCTCTGTCTCTTCTTCATTAATACTTTTTCATTTGAGTGTTTTAACTAGGATTATTCTAGCAATTTTCACATTTGACATTAAGAGAATCTCTTTGTAAGGGTGATGATATAGAGGAACATTAAAGCTGTTTACTGTGAATGATGAATTATGGACTGAAAAGAGCTTCTCATGTGAGAGGAGATGGTGAACCAAGAATAGTGTTAAGTTCCAGCTGGCAGTTTCTGTTCATTGCATTTTAAAATGTTAGCATTTTCTTATCTGATTGTAATTTCTACCTTTTGCTTATTATTCTGATCAGCATATTTTATTGTAGAAGGTGATTAATGTATTTTGTTTGGTGGAAGAAGAATCATAAATGCAATGGATATTATTTTTATTGGCCAGCTGCCGGTAGTGTCAGGTGAACCAATCATGCAAGTTGGAAAATAAAGAATCTAACCACTATGTTTCAGGATTCCGTATTAAAACATTGTCCCTCTCTTCCTATAACTTACAGTAATGTTTACCTAGATATGAAATCCATTTCAAATAAACTGTGGAAATACAATCGCTATCGCTACATCATGACCTACCATGAGAAGCCTTGGCTGCCCCCGCCTTTCATCCTGCTGAGTCACGTGGGTCTCCTCCTTCGCCGTCTTTGCTGTCATCAAGCTCCAAACGACCAAGAAGAGGGAGATGTTGGATTAAGTAAGTTTTCATTGGTGGGGCAGGAGGTAGAGAGTAAAGAGTGGAGATCCAAGGTGAAGACACACTGACCATAGCCAATTAAATTCAGGGCACAGGACGGAAGGCTCTGGGATTTAACTGACAATAGAGTATCAGCTGAGGACGAGGTCAAAGTAAATACATTGACCTCATTATGTGGTGTAGTGCCTTTTGCCAAGATTAGCTGATACTTTGAAAGAAATGAATAGGTAGGAATGCAATCTCTGCTTGAATATGTAAAGGCTTTATGTCTCCTGGAAAACTGCGTTTTCTCTGCTTACCTGGGAATTCGTCAGAATAGCTCCTAGAAGGTAGTCACAGTGACCCGTACTCATTTCCTTGTTGTTGATGATAGAATCCAAAAAGAAAGGAGTTTCTGCAGCCCTTGAGGTCTAAGAGAATTAGATAAGCAAGAGTTTGATTAACTTATTATCAAGAGTCACGGTTCTCCGTTCTCTGATTTATTGACTATGGAGGTGATTCTAAATGGATGTTTTGTATTCTTAAGAACTTCAACTCAGGATGCAGAAATGTGGATTCTCATTTTACTTATTTATTTATTTTTTTTGCAAAGCTTACATTTATGCATTTTGAGATTTTCCTAGTTCATTTTGCTTAGTCATATCTTGACTGCAGGATATGACTATCATACTAATTGTCATAAGAGAACATTCCTTATTTTGGTTTTACAGATCTTCTGTAGTTCCTCTCAAGCAATTCCACAACTGGTACCAGGCCCATTTCTAGATAATTCCTCAATATAGAGGAAATGAGTGGCATAAATTCATGATCCTTTATCCCAATTTTTAAATCAAAAGTGCTTCTAAAAATGGAAAGTCTTTTTCTTCCTTAAATCAGGGAAAGACTCATTTTGGGCAAAAGAGGCCAATGGGACCAATGTGAAGACATTTATTCTCTTTATCCCATATAGTATAAATATTCATGGATTTGGCTGCAGAAATAGTAATGTGTTTGATTGCAGGGTACTGCCCCAGCCCTGACTAGAGATTTACTTCATTTATGGTATATGCACTATATTATTACTCTAAAACTACAAAAGACAGATTCTGAATTCTAAAACATATCTGGTTCCAGGAGTTTCAGATAAGGGATTATAGACTACTATACATTTTGGTGAGCCTTTAGGGGGACAGGTATTAGTACAAGGTTGACAGGTTGATAAGCTTTTGCTCCTGGTACTTGGCTCTGTGAAATATTTTTCTCGTTTTCGGTCGCTTTGAAGATTTATTTTCCTTTTCCATTTTTTCCCCTGAAGCGATTCAGCCTTTATAACGAAGCCAAAGCACAACTGAAGTTAATTTGTAATTTTTAAGATTTTCAATAGAGTGCCATCCGAGGGGTTGGCTGCAGAACTGTTGCAACCTAACAGTTGAATGAAAGATCATGGGATTGAGTAGAATTTGGCCAGATTTCCTAGCACCATGCCAAAGAACTTTTCCTGGGCTCACCTTGATCTGGGCTAATAGGACGATTCTGGTATAAAACTCAAGTAACTTTTCTGTGGATAGAGGTGCTTTCACGCTGAGCTCTGAAAAATTCTGGGATTTTTGTGAGATTGCTTCCAATTCTCTGTATTGAGGATCAAGATGTTTGCATACGGGGCAGCAGTGCCACCTGGCGGACGGTCACAAGAAAGCCCTGCATGTGCATGCTGCACCTGTGACTGGAGTTGCTCTGTGGGTCGTTTGCTCTCAGGAATCCAGAAGGCTCAAATCACGACAGTTGTAAAGTTTCTTCCTCACAGGAGATTCTTTAATGCAAACAGACATTTAGGGCTGGGTGGGGCTGGGGGATACTGGATATTTTTTTTAGTATTTTTAAGATTCTTCCATATCATAAAATCAGAAAATGTTGTGCCCTTGGGTTGTGAACATATTATATGGCTGAATATTATTTTCTTTTAGCCATTTTTTTCAATTTAAAATCAATCCTTTTGTCTTTCATTTTATTGGAAAATAAGGGAACATTTGCATTTCTAATAAATTCTGGAGAACTCTAATGGTTGTTTTTTCCCTAATTTAAGTGAAACGATTGAAGGTAAAGAGCTTTCCAACTTTCCACTTTTTGCAACGCCATTTTTATATTTTCCAAGTGTTAGAAACTTACTCAAAAGATGATGTGTTTTTCTGTTAGGTCGGAGTGAGAGCCGAGGTGATAGACTGAGGTGACTGCTGAAGTTTGATGTAGAATTGCATTAGCTTCATAGTATCACAAAATGATGTCTTTTTGAAAAAAGTTGTAACTATTTATTGAGGGTTGCCAAGCACTGTCCTAATGCCTTTACAGGCACTTTATTTAATCCTTGAAACAACGTGACCATGAGTTAGTGACCATCATGATTCCCATTTTACAGAAAGGAAAACTGAGGCACTGGCAGGTCAGGACCCGCTCAGGTCACAACTGTGTCACTCTGGCCACACTTATATCCTGCACGCAGCTGTCTCCTACTCAAGAGCCCACTCGGTTCCCCAGCCATCTCTACTACACTCAAATGATGTGTTTTTTAATGAGTTAATTCTAATTATGTTAGGGAAGGTGTGCCTTGACTGGCTACTGACTGGTAATAACGTCTCTTTTTTCAGTAGAAGAACTTAGTATATACAAACTCAGTGTAACAAGGTAGAACTTTCTTACGCTTACTGGATTAATTTCAACAGCCTTTGACTTCTTCTAACCTTGATTTTAACCTAGAGGTTACTGATGGTCATTTTAACGGATAAAACAATTGGCAAGAGAAAAAGACAACCAGATTCTTTCCCCAAATGCATATAAATACAGTCACGCACCGCATAACGCCATTTCCATCAATGACGGACCGCATTTACAACGGTGGTCCCATGAGATCAGTATCGTATCAGTACCATAGTAGCCTAGGTGAATAGTAGATTATACCATCTAGGTTTGTGTAAGTACACTTTATAATTTTTGCATGACGATGAAATCACCTAATGATGCATTTCTCAGAACATATCTCTGTCATTAAAACAATGCATGACTTTATAGTGAATTTTTCTTAATGTGTAAAAACATTCTAACCTATGAAAATATTGAAGATAAAGTGTCTGTTACACATGAATCATCTTCAGATTCCCACATCTGTTTATAGAACAAATAGGAAAGACCCAGACTGGCGTTTCCAGTTGTTTCTACAAACTACTTCCCAATTAATATTATAGATTATATGGTGTGACGAGGCGGCAAACTTTTATCACACAAGCTACACTTTATTGATTTTCAATACAAGTGGAAGAAAAGCCACTCATACACTCCCTCAGCTTCCTATGGAGGGTGAATAATGATCCTTTTTGTGTCCATATTCATTTCCACAGAACTCTACCTGAGTAAGGAGGATCTAAAAAAACTTTACGATTTTGAAGAACAGTGTGTGGAAAAATACTTCCATGAGAAGATGGAAGGTCTGAATTGTAGTTGTGAAGAACAAATCCGAGTGACATCAGAGAGGTAAAAGATATATATATATTTGCCACCTCCAAACTGCTATCTAAACCTGACTCTACTCGAATGTCTAAAAAAAAACTAGAAAGATCTACTTTCAAAACCCAGAGGATAGTGTTCTTTAAAATTTTCTCTAGTGGGATATGATATTCATGCAGTCAGTGCACATTTATTAGCATCTACTGTGTTCCAGATAGTCTTCTAGTTACTGGAGATAAATGGTGAATAAGAGACAAGGGTCCCTGCCATCATAGGACTTACATTGTAGTGCGTGCACATGGAGGGTTGAGGACTAAAAAGAAATATGTAACTTAACGTCAGACAGTAGAAGAATGATGAATAAAGTAGTATAAGAGAAGAGAAAATGATGGTGGCAAGGGGTCTGCCAGAGTTGGGGTTGGGTTGGACCATTTTGGGTAGCCTGGTGGTATGGGAAGGTCACTCGAGGCATTGAGGAGGAGAGACCTGAGGGAGGTGGGCCAGGCAGAGAGATGTGGTGGGATGGCACACCTGGCTGAGGGAACAGCGAACTCGGACAGCAAGGGGTGTCCAGGAGTAGCGGTAGGTCGGGAGGAGGATGAGTGCAGGGCGCTGGTTGCACCGGGATTCACAGAGTTCCCCCGGCGCCTGACTGGCAGTTGTGCCGTGAAATAGATGGCAGCTTCACTGCAGTATGTGAAGGGCGAATAGAAGTGGAGACAGCAGTTATAGAGAGCTTTTGAATGATGTTTTCCTGTGAAGGGAGGCGGGGGGAATATGGAGGCAGGATGAGTTCTTTCATTCTATTTGATGTGGAGATAACAAAATAAATGTGTTTCTTCCTGGAAATGACCCACCAGCAAGGGAGAAACTGCAGGAGCAGGAGGGAGGAGGCGATTTGCTGGAGTGAAGTCCTCGAGAAGGGGGTTAATGGAGGACTTTCCCCCCAAGCAGGGGGCCGGGAGGGACTCTGAGCAGTGTGCCAGGGGATGAAGCCAGGGTGTGGGAACGTGGTTCTCATGGCAGTCACGGCTGAGGGTGCGTGGGGGTGCGTGTGATTCTGGGCAGCCGGTGCAGGGAGGCCATTCAGAGGTTCGCGGAAAGAGAAGTTGTTTTGGAGAAAGTGAATGTATGCAGTAACTCTGGCAGGATCAAAGCTATTGCGGATGTACTGCTAATTGTGGGTGCAGCATTGTGTTAAAATATCCAGGACGCCATGTGATTATATGCATTTCAAAAATTTAGATATAGTTGACATATTTGTTTCAGGTATACAACAGAATGATTTAATACTTGTATATTTTGCAAATTGATCACCACAATGTCTAGTCAACATCCATCACCTTACGTAGTTATAATTTTTTTTCCTTGTGATGAGAACTTTCAAGGTCTACTCTCTTACCAACTTTCAAATATAAAATACAGTATTATTAACTATAGTCCCCATGATTATATGCACTTTTTAAAACACGGAGTTGCTTTTGTAACTGGAAGCAAGTTGACAGAAGATAAATGTGTTCCTTCATTTTCGAATATTGGTGGACCTGACTATAAAATGTTATGCCTAATGATGCATGTATTTTTTCTGATGTCCACATAGATAGTGAATCCTTAAATATGGCCTTATTTAAAACTGAACCACATTAAAAACTTTCTAAATGGTTCATTATGGGCCTATGTCATATTTCCAGACTTATCTATTGATACCCCATTTATGTAAATATGTTTAGGTAGCTGCTTGATTGAATTTCAGATTAAATTTTAATATTGAGAAAAAATTGAATATCAAATAAAGATTTGTGAGCCCATAAAATTCAGACCCTATTATTTTACTTGCATAATATCCTTAGGCCATAGCTCTGTGAGCTTCCCATTCCCTCTTCCACACATTCTGCCTTCTTTGTAGCTGTACTCTGAGTCCTGTGGGCCAGCCTGGTTCTCAGTTTTGTATGAAACATACACCCAGATAGGAGTTTACAGAGCTGGGATGAAGTCCTGCTTCTGTCACTTACTGGCTATTTGTACTTGGGTGAATGTACTCTGGGTCTTCGTTTTCTTATATGTAAAATGGACACAAAAATAGACCTACCTCTTAGAGTTGTTGTGAGGATTATGTGAGATAATGTAGATGGACTATGTGGTAAGGGTGCAATGAAAGTTATCTATTATTATGTAAAAATGGGCTCCAAAATTTGTGAGTATAATTTCTTTTAAATACAAATTCCCTTCCAAACCTTAAGAAAAAGGGAAAATAAGATGGATCAAGATAGCTCCCCTCCCACCCCCAGTTATGAACTGGGACAAGGTCATGGAGAGCCCCTTACTTCACACTGTAAACTATGGAAGGATTTCCGGTGGGCAGTGACATGGACAGGTTTGCCTTCTAGGCAGATTCCTTCAGTTACTGTGTGGATTTGAGGCGTCAGAGTTGGAAGTAGGGAGACCACTCGAGAGATCTATGCAGCAGAAGGATGAGTCCCAAGGACTGGCCGTGTTAGTGGTGGCGGGATTGAAAAGTGGGTATCTTAGTCCATTCAGGCAACGATAACAACAAAATACCACAGACTGGGTGGTTTATAAACAGCAGAAATTTACTGCTCGCAGTTCTGGAGGCTGGAAGTCTGAGATCAGGGTGCCAGCACAGTCAGGTGAGGGCCCTCTTCCGGTAGCAAACGTCTCGTTGTATCCTCACATGGCGGAAGGAGTTAGGGAGTTCTGTGGAGTCTCTTTTGTAAGAGCACTAATTTCCTTCATGAGGGCTCTACCCTCATGACCTAATTACCTCCTGAAGACCTTGCCTACTAATATGATTACCTTCAGGGTAGGATTTCAACATTTGAATTTTGAGGGGACACAAAAATTCAGACCTAGTAGAAAGGATGAATAAATACATATTTAGAAAGGACAATTCTTGAAGTGAGTTAGGGATCAGATGTGGAGCTAAGGATGAAGATGGAGTCCAGGATGACTTTCAGATCTGTAGCAAGGGTAATTAGGTGAAAGGTGGCACCACATACAAAATGAATGGGGGAGGCGGAAGCAATGAGGTTTAGATGTGTTGAGCCTGAGATTCTAGTGGCACATTTAGCCAGAGATGTTTGGGAGGCTTGAGATCTGTGAATCTGAAGCCCTGGAGCAAATTTGAACTGGACACGGAGAGTTGGGAGTCATTTGCCTTTTGTAAGAAAATAAAACTATGACAAAGGAAGCAATTATGCTCAGTAAGCAAGTAGAATGAGGGAACTCAGTGGGCTGAGACTTGGACCCTGAGAGGCACCAACACCTATATAATGGATGGAGGAAGAGGAACACATGGAGAAGACTAAAAAGAATTGACCAGATGGGCTGGCCTGGTGGTGTAGTGGTTAGGTTCACGTGCTCCACTTTGGTGGCCTGGAGTTTGCAGGTTCGGATCCCCAGTGCACGGACCTCCACACTGCTCATCAAGCCACACTGTGGCAGTGTCCCACATATAATATAGAGGAAGATTGGCACAGATCTTAGCTCAACAACAATCTTCCTCACAAAAAAAAAAAAGAATTGACCAGAGGAGTATAAGGAAAACTAGGAGAAGGTAATATCATGAGTCAAGTGAATGCAGAGTGAAAATTTGAGAACCAGACATTTACAAACAAGGAATTTAACAACAACAACAACAACAACAATAATAACCCTAGCACTGGTAATCATCATATTTCTCTTGAATTTTTTTGACATTTGAGTAGAGAAGGATTATGAGGTAGATGGGTATATAGCTTCTAAAAATATTCTAGATACTTTCAAGGGCTCTAGAATTTGGTTAGGAAGCTCTGATTTAACTTCAAAACATAATCAATCAATTTTCCCCCTTAATAGAGCTATCTTGCCAGCCCTCTTTTTATGTGGTTGTTCTTGTTGAGGTCATTCTAGGAAGCTCATAAGTGAGGTACGAAGAGAGGGAAGAATGTTTTCCTGTGGTGACTGAGGAGTAATTTAAAGAGGGAGGGAAAGGAGATTAGGAGGCTATTTGCATGTTTGCCTACCTCTAGAGAAGAGATCGCCCATATCCTTATAGAATTGAGTAGTTGTGAAAGTGGAAAAAGAGAACATATTAAGGTTGTTTTATATCTTACTTTTTTTATTTGCAACGCTGGCTGCTTTTTGACCCTAGTCAGCATTTCTCTCCCTCTGTTTTGTGGAGTAAGATATTCATTGGGTGTTTTTCCATATTAAGCATGTATGGGCATGTTGTATTCGGGAAATGCTACATTTTACAAGAAGTTTGACTGCTTTAACATAATGCACGTTGTGACTCAGCAGAGTTATAGTTTGAGCGGGCCCTGTCATTATTTCGCCATGAAACCTTATTGAAGAACACTTGTGAACACCTCCCAGCACGGGAGACGTTGGTGTAATTCTCTTAGCCTTTCATGGGACTCTAGGACCCCCAAAAGAACTCTGCCTAGATCCCTGAGTTGCTGAGAGGTACTGGAGTGCAGTGGTTACTGCCAGGGAGTATGGAGTCAGACCGTCTGGGTTTGAAGCCTCACTGTCACCACCATGTGACTGGTCATGTGACCTGACCTCTTTTCATGAAAAGAATAATAGTGATGGCTACCTCCTAGAATTGTCATGTGGATTCAATAAAATAATAATCTGGAGCCTTTGTAAAATGCCTGGCACATAGTGAGCACTCAGTGGATATTATGATTATCATGATGACTGTAATTATGCTTGTTATAATCTCATTTTAAAATATCTTGTCCAAAGGCCCATAATAAAACAATACTGGTCTTCCCTCCACCCTCAAACCTTGCAAAGAGGAAACTAAACTTATAACAATTTATTTTATGTGTCAGAATGACTGAAAGGCTAGATTAAATTAATGTAGTTGGTGGTTGATGAATATAATTAAAATATGTTTCACGGGACACTAAGCTTTGGAAAATAAGGGCCTATAAAAGCAAGAGGACCTGGTTTGCGGGTGACCAGGTTATTTGTCTAACAGGTCTCTATTGTAGCATGTTACCTGTTGCTGTGAATAGTTGCTGGTTTCTATTGTATCCATTCGCTGCTAATGGAACTTAATGAGTCTCCATTACTGCTGTTCAGACTGTACTGTTTTTGAATTAGATGAAACAGTGCACTAAATGGAGAGGCTCTAATTAAGCATATTTGGAAGGGACTATACATATATTTTGTGCTCTTTCCCTCATCATCCTTGCCAATTCTAGTTTTGCAGGTTCTAGAGGTCAGGAAGCATTTATTAAGCCTCTGTTGAGTCATAGAAGTTGAATTCTATAGCAGAAGCAAGAAAGAGAGGGTTCCACCCACATAGATGGCAATATAAATGGAAAATACCACCCTCTTTATTCTTTAATTCCTATCTGCAAAGTCTTCAGAGGGAAGAAGTGGAAGGTTTCTCAATCCGTGTGACTTGAGATGTATTCTAGAGAGGGGATGTCTTACACTCTTTCGGGAAGTGTTTGTTACAGCTGAGTGCTAACCTCTTCACACTGTGATCACTGCTTCTCCCAGCCCCAAAGAAGACAGGGGATCATTGTTTTATTTCTGTGCATGGTCATGTCAGCTGTGAAACTGTTGATTAGATTCCCTCCCTTGCTGTTTTTCACTTTGTTCCTGTTGATAAAAGATTTCCATTATTGAGAAACTGGAAAGTATACTTCCTCCTCCAAATAAAAGAATGAAACAGGGGAAGCAAAGAAAGATGAAGCAAGGTCATAAGCTAGAGGCCACTGTGAAAATTTTGGTCTTTTTCCATTTAGTCTTCTATATATTTTTAGTTAAAGTTATACGTTTGTATTTTGTAGCCCACCACACACACCCAAAACATTTCTTCAAATAATTAAACATTCTTTGTAAAGATATTTTATCTCTACTTACAAAGTTTTAATACCAAATTTAAAAGTATGTAATGCAGAACACAGTGGACATCCACATCCCCACCCCTACAAGAAATAGACAAAGACAATTACTATCAGCCATATAAGTATGATTTTTTTTTATTGAGATAAAATTGGTATATAACATTTTATAGGTCTCAGGTGTGCAACGGTATAATTTGATATTTGTATATACTTCAAAGTGATCATCACCCACTGTAAGTCTAGTTTCTACTCATCACCATGTAATTGAGCCCCTTCACTCATTTCACCCACCTCCTAATCCTTTTTGCCTCTAGTGACCACCAATCTGTTCTTTGTATCTATGAGTTTGTTTTTGTTTGTTTGGTTTTTTTATATTCCCCATATACGTGAAATCACATGGTATTTGTCTTTCTCCATCTGACTTTTAATGGCTGCATAGTATTCTCTCTTATAATGGAATGAATATCTGTCTGCCTTAGCAGAGTGAAATTTCAACTTCTTTGTATATGTTGCCTGATTGAATGTCTTAATGTTGCATCCTTGCCAATATTGAGTAATTTTAATCTTTTTTTTAATTTGCCGGGTTAAAAAAATGTTGTAACAATGTAGATGAGCTCACCGTTGTCTCAACTTTCATTTCTCTGCTTACCTAATGAGATTGAATATTTTACCATGTTTTGTTATCTTTCATATTTTATCTTTCGTGAATTATCTGTTCATGCCCTTTGGAATCTTTGTAACTTTTTTCTTCAACAATTTGTAAAAGCTTTAGATTTATTAAAGGATACAAACACCTTATCTTATTTGTTAGAATAATTTCCAATTTATTTTTTGTTTTAAAATTTTGTATTCTATTTTCAGGTGTATGAGTTTCCTTTTATGTAACCAAATCTGATATATTTTGTAATTGATTCTATTGACTGTTAAGTTTTGATAACTGTGTTAGTTTCCTAAGGCTGCCATAATAAAGTACCAAAAACTTGGTGTTTTACAACAGCAGAACTTTATTGTCTCTCAGTTCTGGAGGCTAAAAGTCCAAGATCAAGATGTTGACAGGGCCATGCTCTCTCTGATGACTCAAGGGGAGGATCTTTGCTTGCCTCTTCTAAGCTTCTGGTGTTTGCTGGCAATCTTTGGTGTTCCTTGGCTTGTAGATATGTCACTCTAGTCATAGGGTGGTCTTCTCCCTATGTATCCTCACATCATCTTCCCTCTGGGTCCAAATTTCCCCTTTTTATAAGGATACTAGTCATACTATTACCAAGCCCAGGTTCATTTTTGACTTTTGCCCAGAAAACCAAACACTGAGATGACAAGATTGCAGCAGAGAGAGGGTTTAATCACAAGGCAGCCATGTGAGGAAGTGAGAGAATGAGTATCAGATCCACTTCTCTGAAAATAGGGACTCAGGGATATTTATGGGGTAGGGGTGCAAGGTGGTCTGAAATGTGGAGATAGATGATTGGAGGTGAGGAGAGGTGAGGTAATTGATGATCTGTGCAAGTGTAGTGAGACTTCATGCCTCTTCATAGGATGTGTGTTCACAGGATGGTGGCATTAGCATGATCTGAGGGTGGAGTTTTTAGCCTCTTGACGTCAAAAGATCGCTTATTGGACATCTGCATGGGCCCAGTTAATGGGTTGGTGGTCTCAACTGGCCTGAACTGGACAAGGGGTTCTAATTCCTGAAAAACAGCTCAAACTGCAATTACCATGGTGACCCAGGCTCCAGGGAGATGTTATCTATAGGAACCTTGTGGGAGTCAGGTGGCATATTGCCTAAACAGCACAGTTAACAATGGGCAGGGGAACTAAAAGCTATAATCAGTAATTGCAAAAAGGAAAAAAAAAAACTTTAGTTCCTAGCTACTTAATCATCAATGGCTAGTTATTTGCTGGTTTCCATCCCCCCTATTCTTTCGTCATTCCTCATTCTTGAGGGATTTGGAGTGACGACTGATCTAGCTACTTCCTGCTGAATTGGGTCATAGATCTGGGTTAGAGGAATGAAACTGGTTAGTACTCATTTGGAAATATTCTCTTTTTCCTGGATTCAGGTCGACATTTTGCATTATTCGAATTTTGTACTTTGCTCAACAGTTCCAGAACAACATCTAAAGGCACATTTTATTATCAAGTATCTAACCAGAAGGATAAGAAGTATAGACAATCCAAATTTTAACAGCACCTGAAAAATAGACCTAATCCCAATGGGGTCTCCATCTGCTCTCCAGGTGGGGGCAGACATCTGTTCTCAGTTCCTGATAGTCTTTTCTTTTACTGGATATGCATCAGAGACCAGAGCAATGGCCCTATACCCTGATCTTTCAGTTGTCATTGATGATGGTATCAGAATAGACTTTCTGCCTGGGGATCAATCACATTCCTAAGGAACTCAAAAGAACAAAGTTATCAACTTATAGCAGCTGAGAGGGGCCATAAAATCTACAGAGCATTCAAAGTTACAATATGGCTTCTTTTCTACAATATGGTTTCCCTTATGTCAACCTTGTGTTGAGTCAGTATCAATATGGGCATAGGGCCCACCCTAATGATCTCATTTTAACTTAATTACCTCTGTAAAGACCTTATCTTCAAATAAGATCATTGGGAGAGTATTGGGGATTAGGACTTTAACATATCTCTTTTGGGGGAAACAAAACAAAACCCATCCCTGTACAGAGATATTTACAGAGATATATACTGATAAATATTAACCAACATTTTCTTTATTCTTTCTTTCTCTCTCATTCTCCAAATGAAATCAATTGTTACATTTAATTTAACTCTACTTGCAATTTACTTTTGTACTTGTACTTGAATAGCTGAAGATGTCCTGTGTTGTTTTTACATGAATCGATAGCTGGACCTCATCATTTTGAGTTAAAGTATTCAAAATAATTTTAAAAATTTGCCTCAGTCTTTCTCTGAATGTAAGTCTCTTAAAATGGGTTTTGTTTGAAACCCGGGGAGCCTGTTTGTACTGTAGACTTGGAACTTTTTTTAAAGATCTATACATTTTTTCTCTAATTACATGTTTGGTTATTGATTCTGTTCCTATCATTCTGATTTCTTCCTCAGGATCTCCTTTCTGTAACAAAATAGCACAGTGCTTGCCAATAGGAAGTGTTCAAATGTTTGTCATGTAAATCAATGAATATATTAATGAAGACAAATGGGCTGATTGATGAGATGATTGCAAGGATAACTAGCAGGAAGCTGGAAATGTGATTCTGAAATAGTAGAGAGAAATAAGGGCTAAAAATGTAGGTTTGTGGTTTTTCCTCATTGGGGTGATAGTGGGAATTATGGGAGTGGGTGAGATCACCAGGGATGAGAGAATATGTTGAAGAGAGAAGAAAGCAGAAGGCATATCTAACTTTGGGAAGCAGCTTAGCCTAAGGAGCGACCTAAAGATGGAAGTAGGACAGGAAAAGAGAAGGCAAATTCTCATTGGCTTAATGTGTTTATTGGTTTTCTCCCTCCTTTCACCATTAGGGTTACAGAGATGTACTTCCAACTGAAAGAAATGAATGAAAAGGTGTCTTTTATAAAGGACTCCTTACTATCTTTGGACAGCCAGGTGGGACACCTGCAGGACCTCTCTGCCCTGACAGTGGACACCCTAAAAGTCCTTTCTGCTGTTGACACCTTACAAGAGGATGAGGCTCTCCTGACCAACAGAAAGCATTCTACTTGCAGAAAACTTTCCCACAGCTGGAACAATGTCATCTGTGCAGACGTTCTAGGCAACATGGAAATGTGTGGGGAGAAGAAATGCCAGTATTATAGCATGCCCACTTCTTTGCTGCAGAGCCGGGCCAGAGGCTGGCATTCCCCAAGAGTGCGGAGCAGGCCCCTTCTTGAGAGTACAGACAGGCAGAGAGAGACTTCAAATGTAAGAGATGACCAGGAGGAGCAAGAAACAGAAAATAAAATAGTTGCTTCTGGGGTTAACAGGCAACGACGTCGAAAGTATGGCCAGTTTCTCCTGGTCCCTTCTTATCTAAAGCAAGTTCCTTTTTCAGCAGAAACTGACTTGCCCCTGTCCAGACAATCTGGGAAAGCAGGTACAGATGCACTGGCAACTGAACAGGTTACCCAGAGTGAGGTCCCTGTTCATCTGACTTGGCAGACTCCAGTTGTCTCAGCCCAGGACTCGGTGGCTGAACCCAAGGAGCCATACGAGCCAGTTGCTCAGATACCAGCCAGACAAGACAGGGGAGAACAAGTTATACCCACTTTGGTTTGCACACCTGCACCCATGAAAGTGACCTCCCTCCCTTCTCAAGCTGAGAGCATGCGAACTGGAGGTGGATATGTGAACCTGGCATTTTCGGAAGGTGATGAAACTGGTGTGCTTAGCATTGAGAAAAAATGGCAAACCTGCTTGGCCTCCACTTCTAACAGTGACTGCAATCAGAGGGGACAAGGCCAGAGGCAGGTCCGGGGCAGATCCCTCTCTGATGACTCAACAAGATCGGCCCAGAGTAGTGATTGCTCAGAGGTGGGACGATGGCTTCAGCCAGACACGTCCTTTTGGATCAATCCTCTCCACAGAGACAGGCCCTTCAATAGAAGTCATAGTCTGAGATCCCACAAGGAGGAGAAATTGAAGCTCTATAAGATTAAAAGTAAGAAGTCACATATTTTTTAAACCAGTATTAAATTCTTTGCATTGCTACTGTTTTTAAAACGTCTATGACTTTTGACTGCGTTCTCGTTCTCCCCATTCTCTCAGTCTTTTCTGTAAAACAAAATGGTTCCTGGTACCATCTTAAACTTTCTCATGTGAACTGTTTCCCTTACAGAGCTTTCAAGATCCTCAGAGATAGGGCAGTCGGCATGGATCAAAGCAAAAATGCTAACCAAGGATAGGAGATTGTCGAAGAAAAAGAAGAAAACAAAAGGACTACAGGTGCCAGTAAGTGTCACAAAAGTGCCAGGGGTACACAAAATAGCATTGTACTGGAAGAAGTGAAAATATAAATTCGAGAGTTGTCAGAGTGGCTATGCCACAATTCATTTATCAGCTCACAGCCTGAAGGACATTTGTGTTATTTTCAGTTTTTGGCTATTCCACACAAAGCTGTTATGAACATTTGTGCATAACTCTTTGTGTAGACATATGTTTTAATTTCTCTTTGGTAAATATTTAGGAGTGGAATGTCAGAGTCATATGGTAAGTATGTAATTTTAGAATAAAATGCCAAACTTCTTTCTACAGTGGTTATACCATTTTGCATTCCCCCCAGTTTCTGAGTAGTACTTTATGAGTGTTCTAGCGGTCCACATCCTTGCCAATCGTTAGTATGCTCAGTGTTTGTTTTTTCTTTTCAAGATTGGCACCTGGGCTAACAACTGTTGCCAATTCTTTTTTTTTCTCCCCAAATGCCCCCAGAACATAGTTACATAGTTGTGTATTTTTAGTTGTGGGTCCTCCTAGTTGTGGCATGCAGGACGCCACCTCAACGTGGCCTGATGAGTGGTGCCATGTCTGCACCCAGGATCCGAACCAGCGAAACCCTGGGCTGTCGAAGCGGAGCGCACGAACTTAACCGCTTGGCTACAGGGCCAGCCCCTGCTCAGTGTTTTTAATTTTAGCCATATTAGTGGATGTGTAGTGGTATCTCATCTTGGTTTCATTTGCATTTCTGTACTGACTTGTGCTGCTAGGTATCTTTTCCAGTGCTTATTTGCCATCCATATATCTTTTATGGTGACATGTCTGTTCAAATCTTTTGTTCATTTTAAAAATTGGATTGTTTCTTAAGTTGTAAGAATTTTTTAGTATATTCCAGATGTAAGCTCATTGTTGGATATGTTTTGCAAATATTTTCTCTTGGTGGCTTGCCTTATGCTTTTTGTAAACGTCCATTAAAGCACATACATTTTTTATTTTGATGAAGTCTAATGTTTGATTTTTTTCTTTTATAGTCTGTGCTTTTTTATCATAGTTAAGAATATTTGCCAAGATCACTAAGATTTTCTCTTATGTTTTCTTCTAGGAGTTTCATAATTCTTGCTCTCATATTTAGGTCTAGCACCCATTTTGACTTGATTTTTGAATAGTCATGCCCCGCTTAACGGCATTTTGGTTGACGACAGACCACATAGACCACTGTGGTCCCATAAGATTAGTACCATATAGCCTAAGTGTGTAGTAGGCTATCCCACCTAGGTTTGTGTAAGTACGTGCTATGATGTTCACATAGTGACAAAATCGCCTAATGATGCAGGTGTATCCCTATTGTTAAGGGACGCATGACTGTGTATGGGGCTAGGTAAGGACTGAGTTTCCTCCCTTCCGTCCTTCCTCTCACCCTCTCTCTTTCTTTCCTTCTTTCTCCTTCTTACC